CATCTTCCCAGAATCCCATTCTGCTCCTACCCTGGCTTGTGTACACCATCTTCCCAGAATCCCACTCTGCTCCTACCCTGGCTTGTGTACGATCTCCCGGAGTACTCGGACTGCGTCATCATTACTCATGTTCTCGAAGTTGACCTCATTGACCTGAGAAAGAGGGCTAGGAGTGAGAAAACAGGGAGTGCTCAGGAGAAGGACGGGGAGCTGAGTTAAGGGTTCCCCTCCAGACTTCAGGGACTTCTCTCTCACCCCACCCAGGGTAGTTGACGATACCTGCAATAGCATATCTCCCGGCTCGATGCGTCCGTCCGCTGCCACAGCCCCACCTTTCATGATGGAGCCGATGTAGATGCCCCCGTCACCTCGCTCATTGCTCTGGCCCACAATGGAGATGCCCAAGAAGTTATACTTTTCTGCAGGGAATAATTTAACACCTCGAGAAGGGCAGGGTTCCTAACCAAATTCCCAGCCCCTCGTTAATACAGGGCACATAAACATTACTGTACAGTGTACACATAGACACACTTTCGATTTTCCTACTGGTTGTGAGGCAGTGACTCTGAACACACTTTTACAGACAGGCAAGACCTAAGTGACTTTTCTAAGACAACAAGCAGCAAGAAGTAAATTCAGATTTTTTTTTTTTTTTTTTTTTTTTGGTTTTTCGAGACAGGGTTTCTTTGTGTAGTCCTGGCTGTCCTGGAACTCACTCTGTAAACCAGGGTGGCCTCGAACTCAGAAATCCACCTGCCTCTGCCTCCCAAGTGCTGGGATTAAAGGCGTGCGCCACCACTGCCCGACCGTAAATTCAGAATTAAGTTCCCAAGTTAAAGCTCTTTCGGCTATATTTAGCTGCCCTTACATTTTTATTACATTTTTACCTATTTGTTTTGTTGTGGAAGGCGCTCATGTGTCATTCGTTCATGTGTGTGTGTGAGTGTGTGAGTGAGTGAGTGTGTGTGTGTGAGTGAGTGTGTGTATATGTCTGTGTGTGTGAGTGTGTGTGTGAGTGTGTGTGAATATGCGTGTGTGAGTGTGTGAGTATGCGTGTGTGTGTGTGTATGTCTGTGAGTGTGTGTGTGTGTGTGAGTGTGTGTGTGTGTCTGTGTCTAGGTCAGCAGACAACTTGTAGGAGTCTGCTTCTCCTTTCACCATGCAGGTTCTACGGGCTGAACTCCAGGTACTAGGTGTCTTTTAAAGAGACAGAAGTCCGAGAGTACAGTTGTATGCAGTGGCAGAAATCACTCCCCGAGGAAGCTTCCGGGTGCCGTGCCCTGCTCCCACAGTTCTGTTTACCTGTTACAGCTCTAACACTGAAATACGGAAACGGTTATATGATGTCTCAGTCAGTATTTATAGAAGCGCAGCTGCAGCATGGGGAACATATCTCTTTCTTCCTGTATTACATATGGAACCCAGAGCCTTGTAGTATACCACCGAGAGCCCACTCCAAACCACAGAACATGTATGTTGTATTTCCCAGAACCCCTAATTCCTTCCCAGCACAGGCATTTGAACGTGTTCAGCAGACTCACCCATGTTGAGAGTCACTGTGATGATATTGAGAGACATAGTGGAGTCTGTGATGCTGCTGAAGGAGGAGGACTGGAAGAGACAATGGCTGTGAGCAGCAGGAGGTGGAGTGGGGGTGGGGAGGAGTGCTCCCACCTAGGTCCTCCTCAGCACACCACCCTTACCCACTAAGGCTGCAAACACTGAACCAAACAGAAGGGCTCTGAGGAAGGAAGCACTGTGGTCCTGCCTAGGAAGGACTCACAGTCTAACCTCCTGCTCATCCTCCTGAACATCCAGGGGCCCATACCCGCTCAATCCGTGAGACCTTCTGCTTCCGTCGCCGCCGCTTGTGTCTTCTCATTAGGCGTGAAGCACTGCTCTGTTCCGTGGAGCTGCTGAACCTGTGGGGCCCAAAGTCGTTCCCCACCAAGCTGGCCCATTCCTGCCTCATAAGAGGCACAGTAGAGCCCTGGTCCCACCACAATGCCCACATCCCTCCAAGGTGAAGAATCAGTGGGGTTCAGGGTTCATGGGTCACTTCCCCCCCCCCACTCCCATCCCTGTACCTATGAAAGTCAAGCCCCACCTGCTGGTGGAGTCATCCTCATCTGAATCAAAGAAACTGGTAGTCTCCAGCTCGCTGCTCATGAGAGCAGATGAACTGTCATAGCCACCTGGCTCCCGTCGCCGCTCGCCCTTTGCAGTTCCATTGAGCCGGGCTGCTGCGAGGGAGATAGGCAGCTGGGTCCATAGAAGGCTCAATGCAGGGAACAAGGGATATGAGGCAGGCAAGCCAGGGGCTGAACAGGGCCCAGGCATATCCATAACTCAGGAAGTAGAGTAAAGAGGTGGGGAGCTAGCTGGAAGCTGCGGGAGGAGTCGAAGTGGGAATACACACTGTGCTCAGGGCCATCCCTCCGTCGGGGCCGCTCTCGTTGGGCAGATACCAAGGAGTCGGTCTCTGTGTCATTGTCCAGGTTCTCCTGGCTGCCCCCACTAGCATGAGGGCTAAAGGTAGAGAGAACTTGGTGGAGATGAGAGAAGGCTGGGGGATCCCTTACCCAGCCCTGGGTTGAGCTGAACTGCCCCTTCCTCATGGGACATTCCCACCTTCAAGTCACACTTACTGGAAGGAGGGGGGTCGAGAGTCCCCAATGCCTCCTGTGCGTTCCATTGAAGGTGGCAGCTCTGATGGGTTGTCAGCACAGAAAGGGGCTGGCTCTGGGTGCGAGCCCTCAGCAGATACCAGCTGCCAGGAAGAAAATGAGTGGTCAAAGTGGTGCCAAGGAAAAGCAAGATGTTGCTTCCAGCAGGGCATGAGAGACTGGACAGAGTGGAACAGAGAAGAAAGAGCCATGCAAGGGCAGCTGAGAAGGTGTGTAAGAAGAGGGGCTGGCAGGCATGGGCTACTGAGGCAGAGTTGGGGCACAGCACAGAGGTCAGAGAATGCCAGGTGGAAGCAGGTCTGGACGGACACAGGAGACCTTTGAATCTGTTTCTCCCTGTCCTCCCTCCACTTTTCTCTCACATGTCATTAAAGACGGAAGAATCTAGCATAAGAAATGATTAGAAAACTAAAGGCAGATTCAGATACGAAGGCATAAAATCACCAGCTGCTATCCCAGTTATGCCTTTCTTCCCTCTAGGCAGCACCAGGATACAGCTGAAGGCTGAGCTGAGGGCTCCTTACCCAGGACACCACTCGGCCATTGAAGCAGGGGAGCTTGGCATTGTCATCCGAGATTTCTTCCTTCACCACTCTGCAGGGAAAGGGGGATGTCAGAGAGCACTTCTGATGTAGGAAAACCGAGGGTCCCCATGATCGGAACTGCCCTTGACCCTACGTGTGAGATCAAGCCATCCACACAAGACTGTTCAGCTGTGAGGAGGGACTAGTGACAGCCCCTTAGCACCTCCAGGAAGTAGGACAAAGAGCAGGAGCTGTGGGGAGAAGCTAGAAGTAGAAAACACACATTATGCTCTGGGCCATCCCTCCAGCAGGGCCATATCTGGGCCAACTGCCTTGCTGGAGCATCGGCTCAGCCATCAGGTGACTGGAAATTATGATGGTCACACAGCACACCTCAGAACCTCCGGAGTGCTTGTCCTATTCCCAGCGTGACTTTCCTTTTCCCTCTGACCTTCAAATCGAAAAGGTACAATTCTTACTATTCTTCTTTTATCTACTAGGAATACTGACTTTGTTCTGAGAGCTAGGGAAAGAAGTTTAAAGGAACTAGGAAAGAGAAGGCATTCAGTGGCCATCCACGTGGTACATATTTGTAATCCCGGGCAGCACTTGGGAGGCTGAGGCAGGAGGATTGTGAGGCAAGCCTGGGCTATATAATGCAATTCGGTTACAAATAGTACAAAGAAAAGAGGATGGCAATGCAGCTCAGATGGCAGCGTGCTTGCCCAGCATACACAGAGCCCTTTGATCCACACTACAAACGCTGGTTCCATATGCCTGTAATTGCAGCACTGCAGAGAAGGAGGCAGAAGATCAGTGTAAGGTCATCTTTAGCTGCAGAGTGAGCTTGAGGCTAGCCTGGGATACATAAGGACCCTCACCCACCCACACAAAAGGGAAGAACCTAACAGTGACAGTTGTTTGTTTACTGAGCATGCCTTATAGGCTAGCATTGAGCTAAGCACTTGTAGCAGGCAGGGGTAAAAAGGTGGGGAACTAAACTGAGGACAATTATCCAAACTCACAAGCTGGCTTCTGAACACGAGCCTGTGTGACTCTGCATTTTTATCTATCACATCTTCTATTCCTATAGTTAGAACATATAATTAAAAACAACACAAAAAAAAACAGTGGTGGTGCACGCCTTTAATCTTAGCACTTGGAAGGCAGAGGCAGGCTGATCTCTGAGTACAAAGCCAGCCTGGTCTACAGAAAGAGTTCCAAGACAGCCAAGGCTACACAGAAAGACTACGCCTAAAAAAGAATGATAATAATAATAATTTTACTCCAGCCTCATCCTGTGGACAATATAATTCTCATTTCATGAAGAAGGAAACTGACATTTGGTTGCTTATCATGGTTACAATGCTAAGAGGCGTTAGAGCTGGAATTGAACCCAGGTTGTTGACTTCAATTCTCTTTTGCTCCATGTCACATTTTTCCCCCTTTGATGACAGATTCGGGGTGGAGCATTAATGTGGGGGATGAGGGACCATAGAATGTGGTCATGGCATGCAGTTTGGCCTTGGGAATGTGATGGGGGCCAAAGGTTGAATACCGACTGTGGTTTGGGGCCAGAGATGGGAATGGAAACTGTGGAGAGGTCGGCTATCACCCCAGAAGCACTGAGCTAGACAAATGTGGCACAGGCTAAGGGAACACATGCTCAGAATGCTGGGAGGAAGCTGTGAGGCTTGGTCTTCCTTCACTCCTTAGAGAGGCGGAGGCTTTGGCTCCTTGTGACAGTCATATTCTTTAACTTACAAAGAAGTTGGCAAGTCAAGCCTATAGTCTTCCCTCCCTACCATTTCTAATGCCACAAGGACCCTAAGAAAACAGCCCAGACCTACCAGCCAATCTGTATGGTGCCCTGCATGGTAACCTGGCCTCAAGAGAAAAGAGGGTACATGTGATACACAGGACTCTGTGTCCTGCTTTGATAATGCCTTTGTGATGGAAAAGTGCTGCCGAGTCTCCCCATGTCCCTTAGCAGACCCCTCCCCCATACACACACTCCATTCTATAGTGTTTCTTCTCTTTCTAGAGAGTCACCAACACTCTACAAGCCTCTGCTGACTCTCTATGATCAGCTGGTCTTCAGCAGCTTTGGGGGAACCTCAGACTGTAACCTTCTGTGGTAAAGCTTGGCTATCCGGGCTCCAGAGCAGTCTCACAAGACCTGTCCTCTCCTTTTTACTCAGACTGAGTCAGGTAAGCATAGGTTCAACTCCCAATTCTACCATGTAGTTGCTCTCCCACCTTAGAGATAGCATTTAACTTATCCAACCGTTGCCTCATCCTGGTAAATGGGATTCTCAGATGACTGGTATGGTTCAGGAATATAATAAAAACTAGTTACTGACTCTCCAACTTTTAGTAAGATCCACACTCTCACATTAAATATGCCCTCTTTTCTTTTTTAAAAAAACTTTTATTACATTTTTGTGTGTGTGTGTGTGTGTGTGTGTAGGTGAGAGGACAACTTTGGGAAGTTGCTTTTTTCCCTTCCACCCTATGGGTCCTGAGGACAGACCTCAGGTCATCAGGCTTGGTGGCAATGGCCTTTATGCACTGACCAATTCTCCTGACTCTCCCAAGTAATTTAATAGAGCTAAGTCTATCCTGAGCTTGATGAATACTTTTGGAGACCAGGTGAGAGAGTTGGGGAGTCCTTAGACCTCACATTCTGAACTTGAGGTTGAGGTCCAGCAGGCTTCCCCCTCTGACATGCTTTCTCTCTTGTCAACAGGGGGCACTGGTCTAGGCTGGCTGAAGTACTATGTTACATTCCCAGTTTGCCAAGGCTTGCTATCCTTCTGGAGAGGAAAAAATGGCCATTTACATAGTATTCCTCACCGGTGTTTGACTCTCTCCCTCCCCTCTCTCTAACACTCATACAGACACACACACACACACACACACACATACCCCTCTATCCAAACAAATTCTATCATTTACTAGCTGTGTGACCTAGGACCAGCTTTATTAGGCTTTTTACATTTTAGTCTCCTAATTTTCAAAGTGGGAATATTAGTGCCTACTTCACAGGCTGGTATGAGGACTCAAAGATGCAAGATGTACAAGTAAGCCAGGCGGTGGTGGCGCACACCTTTAATCCCAGCACTTGGGAGGCAGAGGCAGGCGGATTTCTGAGATTTCTGAGTTCGAGGCCAGCCTGGTCTACAGAGTGAGTTCCAGGACAGCCAGGGCTACACAGAGAAACCCTGTCTCGAAAAAAACAAAAACCAAAAACAAACAAACAAACAAACAAACAAAAGATGTACAAGTACGTACAGCACTGCCAGGTGGACTGTCAGTACCATGATGAGCTTGTACAATAAGAAATGAAATAAGCTGTCAACAGGATCCTCTGCTATCCTAACTCTGGAAAGGATAGCCTTGCTGGGTCTTCTGCTCACTTATTCTTGGAGTATGGGGGAATAAGCCAAATAATCACATGCACTCCTTCTTAGCATTGTTCTCAACCCTGGTAGAACAGCCTAGGATATTTTGCAAAGGGTGCTTCAAGGACCACAAGTGGATACAAAACAACTTAAAGTGGCACATGATAAATGTCACTTAGTTCAATAGTTAATTTAAAGAAAAATATTCCGGAGAAATTAGCATATGCAATCAGGACCCTCTTATAACTGTAGTTATGCCTGCTTCCACAAAGCAGGAAGCAGCTCACAGTGGTCTGCTTGGGAGGCAGAGGCAAGTGGGGGTGGAGATACAAGACTATTCTAATCCCTGAAGACATCTGGCCTAACATATTCTGAAATATTATCCCAGTTCCTTGGGATAATAAGAAAGACTCTATTCTTATTCCTCTCATGCCAGGTTGAGACATCTACCTCCTATCCTCAATTCTTCCAGCTAGATGATTTTCATGGTCTTTCAACCAGGTTTGCCGATTCTAGACTAAAGCCAGACAATCATTACCACACAAAAGTCTCATTCCAGGGCAAGAACAAAATCAGCAATAGTCAGATCTCTGCTCCACTGTCCAAAACACACACAGTTTTAAGAGCTCATCAAATGACAAGACAGAAGGTGCTTGCCTCCTGGGGTTTGGAGGGCAGGCCTTGAGAGGAAAGTCAGACTAATGTACACTGGGGAGAATATCTCCCCTCCCAGTCTCTGGGGCCTCAGCTGCAATCGCAGTGCAGGCCTCAGGCAAGTGCATTAGAGGGACCTTCAGGCCTTGGAGGGCCCAGAGAGAGGTAGTGTGTGTGTGTATGTGTGTGTGTGTGTGTTCTCCATAGCCTCTAGGCCCACTGTCCAGTTAATGTAGGCAAGCCTCAGCCCCTTATAGAGAGGTGTGTGTGTGTGTGTGCACGGGTGTGCGTGTGTGTCTCCCCCCAACCCCCTTCTCAGGCCAGCTGCTACAGAACCCTCAGGCTCCAACATTCCAACCTCTCTTAAAGGGGCAGTCTCAGCTTCCAAACTGCCCATCAAAAGCCCTGAAGCTGGGTAGGGAGGAGGGGAAAACAAGAGATCGCCAAAAGGCCCTTCCCTGCTTTCCCATCCAGCCTCTGAAGGCCTGTGCAACATCTCCCCTGGGACCATCATAGGGAAAGAAAAGGCTCCAGCACCTGGTTAGTGAGGACTCCTCCTCCGGGTCAGGCAACACCCTATTAGCCCAGGGGAGAGGGTACTTTGCCAAACATCAAGTCCAGCATCCAGCCTGGCAGAACAGCCCCCAACTCCTCCTTCTCCGGTTCAAAGTCCCACCAGCCTACAGCCCTAGATACAGCACACTCCAAATAAGGCTCTGAGTTGCAGAGCTCAGAGGTCCGGGAAGGCAGGCCGGGAGTCAATAGACTCCAACTCTATGCTTAAAAGGTGGCACCTGGAAGGACTGAGAACTCTGGCTTTGGATTGGAGTGGAAAGGATGTATGTCTACGGGGGCCGCTGGACCGTGGGGAGATGAGGGGGCTTGAATGGTAGAAACCGACTGCTTAGGGAGTGGCGTCCCGCTGGACTGGGGGTGGGGAGGAAGGCCTCCAAGAGGTGACTGGGAGTCCCTCAAAGTCAAGTGGGTCCTAAGTCACCGAGTCGCTCCCTTGCTGAAGCCGGGCTAGAAACCAACGAGGGGAGTCGGAACTGGCCGCGTTGGCCCCTAGCAGCGGAGCGACCCGGGCTCCCGGGAGGCGGGGCGGGGGCCATCCTCACCCAAAATCGTCGTCCATAGACTTAAAGAAGAACTTATAGCTGGGCCGCTGCAGAACGCCCTTAAAGTCCGCCAAGGTGACGCGCTCGGCGGGCAGGGGCAGCTTCACCAGGTACGGCGTCTCCTGGCCGTCCAGGTGGTAGATGATCTTGGTCTCGCCCATGGCTCCGGCCTCGGCCCCGCGGCGCGCGGCCTGCTTGGGCAGCGGGGCCGGGCCTCTCCGGCAGAGCTCGGGGCTCGGCGCGGCCCGCTGCTCAGCCCCGCTCAGCCGCCGGCCGGGGCGCCAGCTCCCTTGTTCTCCGGCCGCTCCCGGGTCCCAGCGCCGCCCGCCGCCGCTTCCGCTCCCCACTCTGGGCGCTCGGCTGGCGACCACGACTCTTCCGGTGGCCTCGGCCCTCCCGGCTTTGGGCCGAGCCCAGCACGGCCCCGCCCCGCCGCCGAGCCGCGCTGGCTGGTTGCCGCCGACTGCCCGCCCACCTGCAGGGCGGCGCTCGGTCCCTTATACTCCGAGTTCAGGCAGCTGGACGTGGAGTCTCGACCCTGTGGGCCCAGGGGAACGCTGTGCGGGCTCCCGGGCAGGCGGGGAGGGTCCAGG